ATAAAATCGTAAAAATTTAAGATTAAATTCGAGATGTTGACTACGATGGTTTGTCTCATATAATATTAACACTAATATATGACATTGAGTGTCCTTGTTGCCGGACCTTAAAATTAGAAATGCAAATGAGTTCAACTTGTTGCTAATGGTTCAATGTTGGAGTTGACAAAAAATCATTCAAACAATTGGCTGAGTATTTGATGAGTTGGCTGGTGAGCTAGTTCCTCTAGCAAACAAGTTGAGATTAAACCATGTATTGTTCATCTCACATGACTTGCTAGTTAGCTCATTACAACAAATTCATAAACCAACTTCCGAATTGAATCGATAATATGTTTCCCTTGCTTCTACAAATATATTATAGTAGAGTTGAGGGCAATTTTTCAGTATTTCGAATTTTCTGTAACGATGACAAAAGTAGTAAGTGTAATTGTGTCTTCATAATCATTATTTATTTTTCATTCATATGAAAAAAACATCAGTCTCGAAATTCAAACCATGGTCTTTCCAAACGAAGACAACAACCAATACCAGTTACACTAAAGAAATTGTTTGTATCTTTTTAAATACAAAATCTAAAAATCTAAAAATTATATCTTCTTCACTATTGTTAGCTAGCCCACTAACTCTCCCAAAAGTACTTTCTTTGTTATTTGATATTTTAATTTTCATATTTTGATTATTTTAATTAATAGTAAATTTAATTTATGTCCTCTTATAAATGGAGAATAATTTTAAAATTGCAACCCAAATATCATTGTTTCGAATATTGCATATTGAATTGCAATACTGAATGTGTAGATGTGATGTAGAATTCTTAAATTGGTATTGATTTTTAAAACTATTAAAGCAACGATATTGTTATGCAAACTGTAAGTGACCAGTTTTTTTAATGTTTTAGTTTGGTTAATCGTTAAATCCTAAATTTCTTGATAATATGGCATGATTGGAAAAATGGGTGAGTTTAAAAGAACACAATTAATGAATATCAGTTTTTATAGATGATTTCAATAGGGTAATTGACTAGATGTATCATTCATAGTTACTTAGTTTAATATGAAATAACGTCGTACAAGACAAATCATGAAAGTGGGGTTGGAGTTTTCATGGACGCGTTGATGGGGTCATGTGCATTAGCAAGGTAGGTACCACAAGATATGTTTAATTTTTTTTTTTGAGTGAATTAGATTGTCCTTCCACTGAATTTAGAGTATCTTAGTTGATAAATAATTTTTTCATTGCATAGAGTATGGATGGAAAATGTTATTTTCTTACTAATTTTGTTATTGTATTGTGCAGAATACTTTAAGGTTTAGATATTGCTATATATGTATTGTTTTTCAAGCAAAATAAATAAATATTGACTAAAGGTTATCTTCATGAGTTTCCTATTTATGCTATGCTTTTTCATACACTCTTTTTTTGTTATGTCAATTTTCTTTTCAACCATAGGCAACTAAGTGACTACATCATTAAATAGACAAGTTATGAATGATTATTCACAAGGGTTATAACCAAGGTTGTGACACCTCTATCGGGCGACTGGTTGAACTAGGTCCAACCAAAGTCGTGCTGCAAAACGGGCTCTACAAAATCAAGGGTATGATCGTTAGAGAGGGAGAAGAAGAGAGAGAAAGGGGGAGGGGGAGAGAGGCAAGGGAATGGCGGGTCGATCTTGAGATAGATATGTTTTTTTATGGAATTTGACTATTTGAGTTTTTAATAGATATAAGTTAGTACATTCTATTTCAGTCACTAAATTTCTATCTTATATGTAAATATATTTAGAAAATGTGTAAAACGGCTCAAACAAGTTGAACCTCAATCAAACCATTAAACTTCAAACTACTTGCTGGACCGGCTCAACGACTTAAACCAGTTTGACAACTTTGGTTATAATAATTAAGATTACAATGTTCACCATTGATGAAAAGTTATAAGAATTTCAGAAATGGAAAAATAATTTCGATGTCACCTTCATGTCATACGAAATTCAACATTTCAATTAATTTAAATACACATCATAAATACATTGTGTTCAAATTACATTCTGACCAACGGATCGCACAACAAGCTATTACTTAATTAAGGACGTGTGAGCGACATCCTATGCAAATCATAAATTGTTTTATCACTCACTGTTTTTTTTTTATTAAGAGGAGGCAAGAGTCAGCCTAAATGATTACATGGAGAAACAACAAGGCCACCAACAGGGACACACCCCTGAATCTGCAGCTGTCTACAGAAAGGATCAAATAAAGAGAACAAGCAGACACATTCATCTTTCCTGAAGGATTTTTTGAGGAAAGCTTACACCTATCACATCTTCCCTGATAAAATGATCCAAATCCAACGGAGGCTCATCAAGTTCATATGTACCGAAGGGATAGATCAGACTGTGCTTCGAGAGCCAGTCTGCGGCTCTATTCCCTTCACGATACGTATGCACTAGTTGAACCACCCACCCTTGAGCAAGAGTCCCGCGAATAGATCCTAATAGAGTGGCATATGTTAGGATATGACTTGAATTTGATTTGGGTTTGTTTTGTGTTTTGGGCCTATTTTGTTTGGGTTTTGTTTTGACCTTTTCCTTGTAGGTTTGGAAAAGGTGTTTGGTTTTCTGTTTGGGATTAGGAGAAGAGTTCTATAAATACTCTTCACCACCCTAATTTGTTGTAAGGTCAGTCGAGTTAGTTTGTTTGGTTTGTCAGTTTGGAATTTGAGTTTGTAACCCATACTCTCCTCAAATTAGTGAAATTTGTTCTCCTCTGCCCGTGGATTAGCTAGCACACATTGTGTTAGTGAACCACGTTAAATTTGTGTTCGTTCGTGTTTGTTTGGATTATCGATTGCACGCTTCTGTTCTGACAAGTGGTATCAGAGCCTTTGGTTGCGGTTTTGGGAATTTGGCGCTGGACTGAAGTTTTGCTTTGTGGAGGTAGCTTTCAATTCTTTAGCTTGGTTCGGTGGAGGAATCGCTTTGAAGTTGACTTTGGGTAGTTGTGTTTTGGTCTCGCTTTTTTGGTGAGAAGTTTGGTTAGAGTTTTTTTTTATAGTAAGAATGACTGCTATCAGTATGAAGATTGATAAGTTTACCGGAAGAAACAGTTTCAGTTTGTGGCAGATCAAGATGCAAGCACTGTTGAAACAACGGGTTTGTGGGCTCCGTTGTCTGGAAAATCGAAGAAGGAAAGCATAGATGAAGAATAGTGGATTACTTTGGAGGAGAAAGCTCACTCTACAATCTTGCTTTGTTTGGCTGATGACATCATCACTGAGGTTGCTACTGAGAAGACTGCTGCGGGCTTATGGTTGAAGCTTGAAAGTCTATACATGACAAAGTCTTTAACCAACAAGTTGCATATGAAGCAACGTTTGTTCAGTTTGCGTATGGAGGAAGGTACTTCTCTCAGGAATCATCTAGAACAACTCAATACTATCTTGTTAGATCTGCGGAATATTGATGTTAAAATAGATGATGAGGATGCTGCCTTAATTCTGTTGGTATCTTTGCCACAGTCATATGAGAATTTTGTGGATTCTTTTATTGCTGGGAAAGATAGTTTGACTCTGGAAGATGTCAGATCTGCTCTACATACTAGAGAGGTTCGACATAAGGCGTCTGGTTCTGTTTGAGATTAGGAGAAGAGTTCTATAAATACTCCTTGTTTAGGCCTAATTTGTTGTAGGGTCAGTCGGGTTAGTTTGTTTGGTTTGTCAGTTTGGAATTTGAGTTTGTAACCCATACTCTCCTCAAATTAGTGAAATTTGTTCTCCTCTGCCCGTGGATTAGCTAGCACACATTGTCTTAGTGAACCACGTGAAAATGTGTTCGTTCGTGTTACCCAAACCGAAACCCGAAAAAACCCGAAAACCCGAAACCGAAATCACTAAAACCGAACCCGAATCCGATAAGGACTTGCGGGTTCAGGTTACCCGAAACCCGAAAATTCCTTATCGGGTTCGGGTTCGATTAAAGCAAAACCGAAACCCGAAAACCCGAACTCCTAAAAATACGAGTTGAGTTCTATTCATTGGAGGTTTTTAGCCAAAATCCGAAAAACCGATAAGCAAAACCGAACCCGAAACCCGAAACGAACCCGAACCCGAAAAACCGAAAATGTATATAATCGGATCGGTTTCGGGTAAACCCGAAACACCGAACCCGAATTGACACCCCTAGCTATGTCAATTAAGGGTACTTGCAGGACCCAAGTGTCAATTTTCTTTTTTTGTTATGTCAATTTTCTTTTCAACCATAGGCAACTAAGTGACTACATCATTAAATAGACAAGTTATGAATGGTTATTCACAAGTGTTAGAACCAAGATTGTGACACCTCTATCGGGCGACTGGTTAGACTAGGTCCGACCAAAGTCGTGCTCCAAAACGGGCTCTACAAAATCAAAGGTCTGATCGTTAGAGAGGGAGAAGAAGAGAGTGAGGAAGGGGGAGGGGGAGGGGGAGAGAGGCAAGGGAATGGTGGGTTGATCTTGAGATAGATATGTTTTTTTTATGGAATTTGACTATTTGAGTTCTTAATAGATATAAGTTAGTACATTCTATTTCAGTTACTAAATTTTTATCTTATATGTAAATATATTTATAAAAGGTGTAAAACGGCTCAAACAGGTTGAACCTCAATCAAACCATTAAACTTCAAACTACTTGCTTGACCGGCTCAACGACTTAAACCAGTTTGACAACTTTGGTTATAATCATTAAGATTACATTGTTCACCATTGATGAAAAGTTATAAGAATTTCGGAAATGGAAAAATAATTTTAATGTCACCTTAATGTCATACGAAATTCAATATTTCAATTAATTTAAAAAATTTAAATACACATCATAAATACATTGCATTCAAATTACGTTCCGACCAACGGATTACACAACAAGCTAGTACTTAATGGACGTGTGAGCGACATCCTATGCAAACCATAAATTGTTTTATCACTGACTTACAAGCTCTTTTTCTACCAATGACTTAAAAGCTGGGTTATATTTATTATATATCCTCCAACAAAAAATGATTAAAACCTTTTGTGTATATGACAACTCCAAAATAAATAATCTCTTGTGAGTTGTGAGTTGTGAATGAAAAATAACATTTCAGCCCAAGAAATTATTGTTAGAATGTGCAAATTTCATCCTAGCCACCAAATTAAACAAACCTTACCCATTTCACCCCCAAAATATTCTTTCCACTTGGCATAGCAGAGAGTGAGAGGATAGGATCTAGCCTCACCCACATTTGGCCAATCAAAGTGACCATTCCGTTTCCCAGCAGTCCCATACCCTTCCTCTCTCTTAAGTCTTATCTTATCTCCCACACACCCACTTCAATAGCACACCACAAAACTCACTCTTAACACTTTAAACCCATCCGATCCAAGTTGAAATTGAAACCATGGCCACCAATTCCCTGCATTCCCTCCACCGCCACCTCACCAATCTCCTCCACCACACGGACTCCACCGCCACCGCCATCCCCCTCTTCTCCTCCACCTCCTTCCCCAAACCCACCGCCGCCACGTCATCCCTCTCCCTCTCCCTCTCCCTCTCCACCACCACCGCCTTCTCCTCCATCACATCAACCACACCCTCCACCTCCCAACCCGCCGCTCCCTCCACCTCCCTGGACCTCCTCCGCCGCCACCTGGAGGCCCGGGAGTACCGCCAGGCCGACGACGAGACCCGCCGGCTCCTGATCGCCCTGGCCGGAGAGCCCGCGGTGGCGCGTGGCTACGTCTTCTTCTCGGAGGTCCAATTCATACCGACACCAGAGCTGAGGGCCGTGGACGAGCTCTGGAAGGAGCACAGCGAGGGCAGGTTCGGGTACAGCGTCCAGAAGAAGATATGGAAGAAGAAGGCCAAAATGGATTTCACCAACTTCTTCATCAAAGTTGGGTGGATGAAGAAGCTCCCAGACAGCGAAGTGGAGCAGTACAATTACAGAGCCTTTCCAGGGGAGTTCATTTGGGAGCTTAATGAGGATACCCCTGAAGGTCATCTGCCTTTAACCAATGCTCTTAGAGGGACGCAGCTGCTTAACAGTGTTCTTAATCACCCTGCATTTGAGGGAGACGCAGACGAAAGTGATGATGATGATGATGATTTGGTGGAGCAAGGAAGGAAAAGGATTGGTGGTGGTGGTGATGAGGAATCCGGCAACAAGGTGTTCAAGACGGATTATAGCTTTTAAATTGTAATTAAAGAGGAAGGCGTGGCGTTATCATTTGATTTGGTTTGGTTTGGATCCGTTTATGGGTTTGGGGTATGGACAATGGATTCCCCACGTATTCCGTCTTCAATGTTATCAACAAACAAACAAACAAGACAACCCATTATTGATTTGAAGTCCATGTCAAGATGCAATCTTTTTGGCTCCCCTCCCTCCCGATAGTTACGAATTATGATTAGGAGGAGCAGAGCATAAACATGTATACGCCAGGAATTCCACATCACTTGATAGCTTCCTTCCTTGTGAATTTCAGTTCTACCCTACCCTATCCTTACCTTATTATCCCCATGCTATCGCTATGTGAATGATGATGGAGAGATCAGGAAGAAAGTATCAGCTGTAGACTGTAGTGGTGTTCTTTATTGCAAATCATTTTCCATCCACTTCATTTTCCTTTCCCCCCCCCCTTCCTTTTGGCCAAGAATGAAGAATAATGTTACACAGCATAGACAGAAGAACGTAAACCTTCTTTTACCCCCCCACACAAATCAAGCTATATCCTGTGAATTTTACCAAATTTACAGCATGTACAACTAGAATTAGAAGAAGAAGCAAATCGAAAGAGATTTTTGCCAAATGCAATGATCTTCTTCTCTTTCTCCCCCAGGATTCACATCAGTCAGTACCCATTGATTGCCACACTGGTTCGCAAACCCATCTTCGCTTGTGTCCTTACGAATTAGTACACAACCCTAATGCACACCCTTCTCCATGTCCCTCCTCCGGTGGCCGACACTTATCACAAATAGATAGAATGCGACTTTCATCAGCCAGCCATGGCTCGACCGGAAGATGCTAACGTTAACCTGTTAGCAATAAGCAACAAAACAACATGGTCTCATCACATTAAAATAACAACTTCATGTTTGCCCAGATGGAACAATTGAATGTTCTATAAATTCTCTTTATTAGTTAGTTTATCAAATGTGGATTGTCATCAGAGGCATTCAAATGATTACTTAGACTGGTAATGACATAATCAATTAAGCTTGAAAGAATTTTATTAACCATGAAACAAAATGTCTCAACCATACTAGCAAATTACACAAACCAAAATAACCATAACCACTTAAGCCGAATTAGTTAAGATCACCAAATCATACCACCTAACCAAATCTTATAAGTTCATGGTACCTGATCTGATTGAACACCCATGCAAGTAATGCTCATGTGCAGAATATCATGGTCATGCTTTCACAAAGCTACTCATGCAATACGCACTCAAACTGGTCATGATTGCACATTCAGTATGGAAATTACCTTCCTCTGAGAAAGCAAAGACACCTCCGAGCATATCATCATCGTCATCATCAGGCTTCTCCAATCCTTGAGGACTGGCATTGTTATCCAATGGACTGACGACTTTGCTCTTCTCCGATTCGCAGCATTCAGAAAGGGCAGCAACTTTACAGTAGCCCTCCTGGAAAAGCTGTTCGAAATCTGGAGACTCATTCACCATCATCCCCTCGTCTATAATATTTGCACTCAAATCAGAACGTCTGGAGCTTGCATTTGAAGATTCACTGGTCAGAACACTATTTGTTGACCGGCCTTCATTTCCCATATTTCTTTCGGGAGAAGGCGAGCCATGGGTTAAAGATACTACATCACTATGCACAGAGTTATTACTATCTTCTTCAGCAGGAGAGATACTCATTGGAGTAGGCTTAAAAGAAAGCAAACCACAATTATTGCTACTTGGGCTTCGATAAGCTAAACCCGAAATCCCTCCGAATTTGCCAGGATTATGTTGAGCAGATATATACAATTTTGTTGATGACCCTGTCAGAAAACCGAGAATGTTTGAGATGAGTTGCAATCAAGAGGTTAATAAGCCACGCTGTCTGTATTTGAAATAAGTGCAAACCTCCATTTGAGTTTGCAGCAGAACTGGATGGAAACATCTTCGGCTGGAAAGCTGCAGCAGACCCAGTAGACAGAGCAGATATTTCCCTTCGCAGTTCCCTGCAAAGGATGATGGAAAGGAATACCTCCAAATAAAAAATTTAAGAAGGTGGGTGGCATGTGGAACAACGAACTCTGCTGCCGAGATGCATTTTCAAAGGGATCATGCAGATATATCTTGGGAAGCTGCTGCTTGCAAGACAAGCTTAATTGAACACTAACTTACAGGGAGAAGAGAAAAAGGCGAAAAGCAAATAAGCAGTTTAAGACAAATGATTCAACAAATTTGGAGTAAACGGAGTTGGCAACTACAACAACTAGTAAAAGTTGAGGTGCATTTGTAAGAAGAAAAAAAAATCATCAACTTTTAAAGTAAATGTAAGAAGTTGGGGTTTGTATAATATTTTGAAATTTGAAGTTGCTTCTTCAATCAAGTGGGACATATCAACTGGCGCCTACTAGTTGATCAAATATATACAAGTTAATAGTGAGCAACAATTAGAGGATCTAAGAGGAAGTTGCAAAGAATAAACAGAATCTAGGATGCTGTGATGTAGAATGTCGTAGACACATAATGGATAATAATTATTAAAAAAAAAAACAAATTTACCGGTCACTCCAATCAGCAACCCTGTGAAAGTGGTCAAAAACAGGTAACAAATCCTTCCGCCTGATTTCAACTTCTTGGACTTGAACCTTTTCTATAGCAATCTCTCCACCGGAGTGATCTTCAGCAACATTCTGCTTGTCACCTTCAATCCCACTCATTGCATAGAAATACACCTATTCCAATGGAAAGTGTTAAAAAACCAGAAAATCAAGAAACACAATTTTTCTCAGCTATATCATGATTTAAATACCTTGGATTTCTGCCAGAGCGGTGTTCTCCAGGGGCTCATCTGGACTTCAGCATTTGCAAGATACAAGTGAGACTGCTCATGTGATTTCATTATGTCCACATCAGAAGCGCCAACTTTTCCTGCCTCATTATCTTCACAGTCAGAAGTATCCATTGCCATATCTAAATTTTCTTTTCTGCTGTGAGTATGGCCAGTGATATGCTCCTCTCTTTCCGGCCAATCTGCTCTTCTACAAACATCCCACCATTGAACAGATTCAGTTTTCACGTGTAGTTCCTCATCTGCAGTCTGAAGTGAGGAACCCGGTCCGATTCTTTGAGTAGCTTCACTAGGTTCTGCACCAAGTGACGACACCAACTTGTATTGAACCACATGTCCACATGGCGTATAAGCTAAAAGGTGCTCCATGGCATCTACTTTTCTCAAATGAGAAGGTTGGGAATCTTGCGGCACACAATTGTGGAAGACAGCAGCAATAGCACCAGATGGTATTGACGCTTTTCCTGCAGCAGATGATGCCGCATTGCTAACTGTGCTAAGCCAGCCAGAATGGGTATTCTTTATTCGGGCCACCACAGAGAGAGTAACAGACGATGGTGGGGATGCAGAAACGGATTGTTGGTTCACCAGGAATGAGGGAGTGGACCACCATGGTAGAGAAAACACCGGTAATAGGATGGGCCCATCTACTTCAGAGTTCTTCATTTGGAGAACACTCTCACCACCAAATGGTGAAAGTGCAAATATGTGGCAGGTTCCCCTAGATGAAATTATTGCAACCCACTGACTATAACTGCTAAAGCATATATCCTGGATCACCTGGGAAAACCACAAACAAGACACACATGAGATTACTAACCACACTGTTCCTTGAGAATCAAACTACCTAATTGACAAACCACTAGAGAAAATGAGATGTACCGCAGATGTTATGCCCCGATGAAGCTTGTAAAGGTGCACGTGAGAAGAGCTCCAATTGTAATTCTTTGCACCAGAACCACCGTGAACAGAGGATGGCATGATCCGGAAAATATTAATGTTGTTCCCATGAATTGATGCAGTAACCAAAAGCGTACCACTTGGATCAAAGCATAGAGCAGAAATGGGACTTGTATGAGCTCTAAATTGTGAAATCACAGCTCTGGATATGAAATCTTTCACAACAACCTGCAGAAATCGAAGTAAAAATCAAGTAAGCCTCGACTTATGCTTGATTAATGAAATTAACTCATATGTGCATAAAATGTACCTTTGAAATCCCAGGCAACCCCCCTACTATTCCGTAGTAAGTCTAGAAACTACATAACCTCATTAAGCATCTCAGTCTGGCAAAGTTCAGCTTAAATACAGGGAGGGGGGAACAGCAAAAAAAAGCTCATAAACATGCAAGGAATCACCTTCCCTTTTCATCTTTTAATCTGGAATTGTAGGACAATTATGTTATATTTAAGCCTGTCTGAGCTTACGAGAACTGACCATTCCAGCAGTATCAGCATCTGTAGAATGAGCTGCAACTCGTCCGACTTTCCAACAAGAATTTGGAGAGACAGGTGAACCAGAACCATCAGCGATGAAATCTTGACAGTATCGAGACAAAGTCTTGTAGCCCATGTCACCTAAACTCATCAATCCAGTAGCTAACTGCTTACTCGATTCCATGGCATAACGAGCCACTAGATTGCCGCTGCCAGGTGAAGTTGATGGACTTACACCCATGGGAGGTGTAAGACTTTGTGGACTTAGGCGCCCAGTGTTTGATAGCAATGGATTGTCAGAAGCATAAGCTAACCACCTTGGACCCACTGCCATTGGCCCATATCCAGTGTTCGCCCCAATCCCTCCTTGGATGCCCAATTGAGGAACAGGATAGGTGAGCACGCTGAACTTGTTCTCTAGAGTGAGAGCATCAAAGCAGTATATCTGCAGCAGAATCACAAGCTTTAAAAAAGAGACCAAGGAAAGTGTTCCATCAAGATAACCATACAAAATTTAGTGCAAGTCCATGCTTACCTGTGTAGCCAGACCCACAGCCACTATCTGAGGGCTGCATCTTACCATAAATACCGGAGAACGGAACCTTAGAACATGAACATAGTTGTGGGATTTCAGAGAGTAAAAACGAACAACAGTTGGAGAAAGTGCAAATCCTCCAGCATGATTCTCATTGAAGCCATCTCTGCCCAATTCATCTCTCCCATTGATAACAATTGCTGGGCTTTTAGTTTCGTCGCAAGCAACTACTAAGAGCAAAGGATGTGCAGCTCTATATCCTTCACAACCCTCAGCCTTAGCAGGGAGTGGCTGCATACGTAGAAATGTGACCAGATCATCCCGTCTTGAAACAAGCTCAGTCACACCAGAGGCATCTTCAAGATCAATCACTTGGAAGCCATTGGAGTACCCAAGTAAGAGCACATTTCGGAAGGAGGACGGACTAAGTTGTAGCTTGTCAAATGAGGCCCAGAGGACCTGTTCACACCATGGGCAGGGCAAGAGTTATGTCAACCATTAATCAATGTGGTCAATCTAGTAATGAGCAGTGAACGGCATGTGAAAATGCTTGCAATTAAACATAACAGCACACATAAACTCTAAAGCATCTATCTAGATCCCCACCATGCAGCAAGTTCTTCCTATCCTATCTGCTGCAACCCCCATATTTGCCATACATTACTAAGCACACCCTCCAGAGCCAACAATTAACCCATCGAAGAATTTTACATTAACAGAAACAGTTCACAACTCTGTCTGTCCAAAAGCGAAAAACTAACCAAAAAGGAAGATTAAGTTTTTGGCCCAGTAATATCCAGAGCTCAAGATGGATTCCTTCCAAATCAACAAACACCAATCAAGCGAATAACTACTACGAAATCCCACTAGCTAAATTACCTATCACCTTTTGTCCAACCCCTCGCCAATCTCAAGATATCATCATCTTGATTGAATGAAGTTGGTCACGTTGCAACCCTTTTGTTGGGGATGGGGGGATAAAAGTTCATAAAAGCAAGATGAACAGAAATGGAAACCGGAACAAAAGAGAGAAAAAGAAAAGAAAGACCGCTCCACTACCCAGAAGCCATCCTAGTCCTCCTACGCCATAAATAACAGTCCCATTCAGTCCACAAACTCTACGTTCACAAAGCGCCAGAGATAAAGAAGCACCAAAGCAAGAAAAATGATCTCTCAGTTCTTCCCCACTCTCCAAACTTTTGCAGCATCCAAACAAGTCCGCTCGGTTCCCCCCAACCCGAAAACTCCTAAAATCCCAGAGTTGCCATTTCTAACCAAGCCAGACTCCAAATTCAATAAACAAGACATGAAAAAAAAAAAGAAGCAAACAAAAAAGAGAGGGCGACAAACCTGGTCCCTATCCCCGCCTAGATTGTCGCGGGAGATTGAGGCGGCAACCGATGTGCTAGCTGAGCGGACACCGGAGGAAGCAGTTTTGATACAAGACGAAATGAATTTCAAAGAGTTAGGAAGGAATCCATGACTGGTGCTTGTAGTGTTCTTGCTGCTGTTGCTTCCTTTGCTGTTGTTCTTCATAATAATCGGGGGAAGAAGGAAGTGTTACTTTCCACCGGTCACCAGGAAGAAGGCAAGTCTGTCTCCCGCCAGCAGCAGCAGCAAGCAACGATCGATCGGCAATAGCATATAGATAGTTTAGGAAAGAGAAGTTTTCCCGGCGAGAGATTAGGAGGGAGGGGGGATTTTGGGCGGTCGTAGACCAATTGAAATCGGTGATGTTTGGTGGTAGTTTTTGACTCTGTAGAGAGGAGGAAGAAGAAGAAGCGGAAACGGTTCCTTGCTTTTGTTTTGTGTTTGCTTGTCGCCAGCAAATTTGTTTTTCTTTTTCTTTTTGTATTTTAGGTTTTTAATATTATTTTGGGGTGGGGTTGGATCGGGATTTGGGGATGTAATTGTAAAAATAAATTAAAAATTATTTTGTTTTTGGTGAGCTTAATTAATTGCGTTTGCTTTTGGGGGTTCGAAGTCGTGGGAGATTGGGGCAGTTTCAGTTTTAATTGGATTACAGTGTAAGCCAAAATAAAAATTGTCAAAACGATCCTCCGGTTTCTCACAAATGTCAACATAGTGGACACAAAATGTTGATATTTGTTTTTTTTTTCCTCTAGGTAATTAGGAGTTTCCATTAAGCCATCTCTTTCTTGATCAAGTCGGCTCAAGAGTCGAAAAATACAAGACAATTAGCCTATTGTCTCTTAATACAATTGAAATACTAATTGGGACCAAAGAATGCTAATCTAATTCTATTAAGTGACTGCAATTCAGAGTCTTATGATTGTGAAACTCTACATTACCCACCCTCCCCTCCCCCATAAAGTCTCACTTCCTCCTTCCAGAGGGAAGCCAATAGATGTGGAGGCCGAACAACTTTCTCAAATACCCTTCTACAACATTTCTTTCCAGATGAGGCCAACACGCTAGCACCATAATGAGCCTTTTACAAGTTCAATATAGCCACCCCGTTGCACAATACTATAGATTAAACTTAACATATCATCCCATGTGGCAGGGATACCCACTGTTCTTCTCGTCACTTCATTTAGGAACTCTCATGTGTAATCACAAATACATAATATATGGCTTTTAGACTCACTCTGTTTATGACAAAGAACACATACACCATCTGTAATTTTACCTCAAGCTTTTAGCTTGTCTCGGGTTGCTATTTGACCCAAACCAATGAGCCAAACTAAGAATTGATACTTAGTTATAGTGTACTTAGTCTAGGGAACCTTCCATCATACAACCACGTCTTTTAACACGGATAGAGTCCCAAATTAACTTCATAGGAAACTTTATCATCTATTTACCATGCCAAGACACATTTCCCTGCAAATCCACGTCCGTCGATATCAAAACCATGGTCGAAGCTTCATTAGTTGCTTCCAATCCCAAGATCTTGTCGAATATGTTTTAATATCCCACACTGAATGGCTCTTCAGCCTGTACCTATAGACCCAAACTACCCAGAAGTTGTCCCCTTGTAAGAGTAATCGTCATACCAGCCTAACCACTCATGCCACATCCTAAGTCCCCAAATATTTCAGTCCTAAACCGCCTTCTTTTTTTGGCACAACCAAATTATCGCATGAGATCTTCTCCCTACCAGAACAATCTCTAAACAACAGGAAATCTAAACAAATCTTCTGGATAGTTGTGATCACTTTCTTTGGAAGAACAAAGAGGGTCATCCAGTAATGAATAGGTGAATATAAGACAGTTTATCAACCCTCCAGATTCAATCCACTTTGTCAATTTATAAATTAGAACTTCACATTCCCGACTTGACAGCTTTCCAACAATCAGTGTTAGCCCCAAATATCTAACTAGTAATTTTCTTTCCGTAGAACCAGTTATTGCAATGCAATTTGTTTAAACTAAGGGGGCACTCAACAAAATAATACCTCACACTTTTCAGGGTTGCATTTGAGCATTGACAACTGATATAATCTATCAAGGACCATATTTACCCCATTTAATGCACAGGTAGACCAATCTGTAAAAATCAGAAGGCTGCCTACATTTGTGGGTGAAATGACACTTGTCTATCCCTAGCTGCTTTATCGATAATGAGACTTAGCATTTTTCATAGCTATGGTGAATAGGTAATGGGACAAAGGATCCCTTTGTCTCATCCATTTTTAGCTTTAAAATACCCTAACAGACTTCCATGCACAAATATACCGAAATGAGCTGAGTCTAGACACACAAAAATCCATTCTAGGAATTCCATTGGGAACCCCATAATTTTCATCACACGAACAAGATAATTCCAATTCACCAAGTCGAATTCTTTCATCAAATCAATCTTCACAACACTTCTAGTGTTAATTCCCTTCCTATTATAATTTTGGAGTATCTCTTCAGCCATCATAATATTCACTAGTATACTTCTTCCTTTTATAAACTCTGCTGATTCCTACTTATCATCGAAGGCAGAACAGTTTGAAACCCATTAGCCAAGACCATTGCAATTATCTTCTATATTACATTAATGCAAGGTATAGTTATATATGCAGCCAAACCCGGTGCATTTGATGCATCCATATCAAACAAAGCATCCTTTATGTCTTTAGCTGATACCTCCTCACATAATATTTTTCCTTTCTTCATTGTTCAATCTCCTGTCTATGCATTTTTTAATGAATTCCTCAATAGCTCTGACATCCTCTCTAATCATGCCAAAGATTTGTTTATAATAATGAACAACTTCGTCAGCAATATCCTAAACCTCAATTAACTCTGCCCTTAATTTGAAATAATTTCTTTATTTGCTCTCTAGATATTCTGATCTGAACTCATTTATGAAAGAACGCTATGTTGGAATCACCCAATGCCAACCATCTTATTATGCATTTTTTCCTGAAAAATGCATTCTCATCTTGTTTCATTTGTTGGTAAACTCTTGTAGCCTCTTTTACTTCTTCCAAGATATCCTCGGATGGATTATATAAAGCTAGCAGCTGCAAATTGTTCATCACTTCCTCTGCTTCATTCACCTTACCAAAGATATCACCATAGACCTCCTTATTCAACTTTCTAAGATCACCTTTTAATAGATAGTCTCTGCTTTATCCCAAATAACCCTAACATGGTACATCCTCCTCCTATTCTCCTTCAATATTGAAAAAATCATGGTGTTCAACCCACATAATTAATAATCTAAATGTCTTGAGATAGGTTGTAGTGTGAACCATAAGCATAATCAGAATTCCACAGTGGTCCGAGAAATCTGGAGCTAAATTTAAACCACACATTTCTGCAACCCAGTTATCCAATCCACATTAATCAATAATCTATCCAACCAATGTAGTCAAAATCTCAATTTTAATCTTAAAATTTTACGATTTTACGATCTTACCTATGAGTTTCGATCATGATTTTACTATAAAATCTTTGAACCTTGAAATCCCATAAAATCCCAATTAAAAACTGTAAAATCCTTAAAATCTACGATTTTTAGGATTTTGTACGATTTCAAGGTTCATGTCAATTGAAGCAAAATCATGCAAGCCAGGTCGGGGTTTTTCCATGAACCGGGTCACGTTCACTTCCCCCATCCCAATACCATGAACAACATAACCTTAAACCGATAAGTGAGCCTCAATTTATGTGTGTTCTCTTCCTCTTCCGCATGCTGACTCCCAACCTCTTCCATCAAAGATTTTCTCCACCCTCACAATTAACACAGAGTTTCTTCCCCACCACCATCACAATTAGCCCAATCCCCATTCTCTTGCAAACTTTTCTTTGTCTCTGAAACCTTCAACACCACCATCCCGGACCTTTTATCAATCAAGAAGGGAATGCATAAATCATTGAATTACCTTTTCCAGATGATGGTTATCAATGAAATATGTTCAATGGTTAAAGTACTTCAAGTGATCCCGAGAATAATAATGATATTATTGTTCAAGCAAATAGACAAGGATTCTATGAGGATGTGAGAGAGGGTGACGGTAAGGATGATGATGTGTGAGGGATGTTAATGTTGATCCTAAAGATCTTATGTGATTTTCTACTCTTAGCTATTAACTAGATTAAGTAATTCGTATGAGGTTTCAGGTTGCTTATCTGTGTGTTTATGTTATTTACAAAAATAAATATATGAATTTATTTGTGTTTACATAATAAATAAACTTATCTTGGGAAATAATTAAGTTATATGTGGTTGACTGTTATACAGGATATGCGTTATTATTACTATATGGAGTTTTAGTGTTCATTTTAATATGAACCTTAAAATCTTACGATCTTAATCTACGATTCCGATTTTACGTAAAATTTCGATTTTGACTACATTGTATCCAGCTTCCTGGAAATTTGGTTGCCTTTCTACTGATTCGCTCAAGTAAAAAGAGGGTTTGTCACCTTATGATCAACAACTTCCATCTTTTCCATCCATTCTCTAAATGCTACCATACTAGTCGTTTTTTAGATTTCATTTGATGCTTCAGTAGGGTCTAGAATTGTATTAAAATTGCCTCCCCACATCCATATAAACCTTAAACTTTTCATTTACCTAGGCATTTATAAGTACAAGCTCCCTCTTTCTCCTAATTTGACCCATAAGCAGTTGTGAAGAAATTTTGCTCTCCTTGTTGTGGAGACACTAAGCTATGTATATAGTTATGTTCCAAAGCCATTAATCTGAGTTTCACCTCATCACTTCAAGCCAACCAAATTCTATATAATTTGTTCTTCGAGTAATTGTCTTTAAACTGGATACCTAAGAACTTCTGCCTTATTTCATCTGCCTTCTTTTGTTGCACTCTTATTTCAAGTAAAGAAAGCAACACTACCTTATGTAACTTAATATATCTAAGCATAGAATCGTGCTTCAAGGGGCTATTGAAGCCCTTTGTATTCAATAAACTATAATTTACGAGCACTAACCACCTTGGTCGTTGTTGTTTTACATTTCAGACCCTCTTGACCAGCCTTTTTAGGAGGTGGTGCCTATAAACTAATATCCTTGCTATTGCCGCAGAGAGCTTTAAAAGCATTTGAATGGAGTACTGGGATTTCCCCTTTAGTAGCCACCTTAGGCTTAGCACCATTGATCACCGTGTTAAACTCCTACTAAGATGGCAGCGCAATCGAGGTTATAGGGAGATAAATGTTTTATATCTCCTATTTCCCTTGATTAGTCGTCTCTTCCCTAACCAGCTCCTGACCAGCCATAAGTCCACACTCCACAACAAATAATTCAATAACATCAACAAATTTTTTAAAAGGGTGCTATCTTTTGAGTCTTGATATGCGAAATCCTTTTTTATTCTTGCTCCTGGAGGAAACGAACAGTTACGACGAAATACTCCACAAGATACACAACTCATTGACAAACCACAATATTCAACACTAATAAACGTCTCGGCCATATCATCTGGATCACACTAATCTTATAAACAAACTGCTTCTTTTCACTGACC